TTGTTTAGTGTGTGAAAGACAAGTTATATTTTCCTACTATTCATTATATATATTTTACTTTATATGCCCTAAGGGAGGGGCGGAGTTTAACCCCCTAAACCGCACCCCTGACTGCGCCACAAGATGCATTATTTCCTTAACCTTCAGCTCTAGCTTTTGCATCAGTTGTGTCATCAATAATTGTCTCTTCAATCAGCTTCTATAATTGCTTTAAGCTGATCTTTGACCACAGCAACTGTCTCAGCACGACAAACCCAACGTATTTCAGATAAAGATAAAGTTTTTAAGTTATTATTTATGATCTCTTCTTATTCTACAGGCCTCAATACTTTCTTCAAACAAAATTTTGTATCACAGCATTTAATTTTAAAATCCAACGGTGGTCCGTATTAAACATATCTACTTGATTTATAATTTTTAAATTATTTATTAAAAAACTTTTATTTTTAGTTAAATATCTCGTTTATTTATTACTTAAAAAGTTCACAGAATAATTGTTTCTAAAAATGAATGATCCCTATTTTCGCCCTCCTAGAAAGTTAGTGTATAAATTTTCCCAAATAGATATATTGTTAGGCTCGTTTTTATTTTTTAACTTTCACTTAGGTAATACATAATATAAATTTGATTCATTCCTTCTTGGTAAGTTATTTCATATGAAACACATATTTCCTTTAAAACTTTCTGTTTAGTGGTTTGTATGATTGTTTTAATTATCCTTTGTTGTGCGTTTCTATCAAACGATATGCTCAAAACAACGGTGTAATTATACATCCTTTATGAAACTTTGAAGCTCAAAGAAATTCTCCTAATAACTCGGCAACACGTATTACATATTTGATGGTTCCTCTTAAAATAAAATTATTACAAAACACTTCTCTAGTTAAGTAATAATTGTTTAGCGACCTTGATGTTTAAAAAATAGGCCAAGCGTTGATTAATAACATCTAAATAAAATAAATATATATTATAAATTTAGTAAGTAAAATAAAACGTTGATAAAATGTAAAAAAAGGAAAAATGTATATATATAATAGAATTGAATAACATTGAACATTCAATTAAATGTTGAACGTCACAACACCTAATTTGTTGCATTTTATATTTTTAAAACTAAGTAAAAACTCTATAGATGGCATACTTAGTTTATTTTCCATATATCTGAGACATAAATAGAGATAAATCATTCCTTTTTATGTTATAATGATAGCCAGGTCATTTTTCTACCATTCTAAGTAACAAAAAATCAATCATACAAGAGATTTATTTAAAAAAAAAAATCAAAATCAAAATGTAACAAAAAACCATTTTGCCCGCCCAGTGCGGGAAAAATGGCATACATATAAGCAACAGTGTTAAATACAAAAATAATTATAAATTTTTATTTTTACGAAGAAAAAAAATTGAAATTAAATATTTTAGTTCATACAAAGTTCGCAAATAAATTGTTTTGTTTTTTTGGGAAGTCCAGCACATTCTGAATGTGACCAGTTTTGGCAAATTTGGCATCTTAACCATCCTTCATTAGATTTGAACCTACTACACGTATCATTTGGATATACCGGAGAATGTTGAGAATCCCATGGACTGCCAGGGTCACCAATGAGGAAAGTGCTGAGAAGAATGGGTCGAGTCAAAAAATTGTTGGAGAACGATAAAAGTACGCAAGACTGCATACCTTGGACACATACTAAGAAATAATAAATATAGTCTTCTGCAGGTCATCATGCAGGGTAGAGTCGATGGCAAAAAGGGAATAGGTAGAAAGAGGAAGTCATGGCTGCGAAATATTCGAGACTGGACAAACATGACTGTAGACGAGTTATTCCACGTTGCAAAAGACAGAGAAGCTTTTAAAAATGGTGGTCGCCAACATCCGTTAATGGGGACGGCATAGGAAGAAGAAGAAACGTATCATTGCAGTAAATGCAAGCGCAGTCCTCTTCTTTATCATCATCAATACTAAAGGGGTCCTCTTCATCACTTGATATATTGTTCAGTATTGGTCTGGTCACAATATTTCTCTTGCCTTTTCTCTCCGACTGATCACAATTTATCTTTGTTCACAATGCGTCTTCTATCACTTAAATCATTGACTATTTTTTTTTTTTCACGACGTCCCCTCTTCTGCTTTTATTTATTGTGTTTTTTTCTCATTTAATATCTTGGTATTGACCAGATTTACGTTTGGTAGATTTTCTTACAATATAATAAAGAAACGCAAGCTGGAATACTTCGGTCATATTATGAGACACCCTGAAAAATATGATCTTTTACATCTGATCATTCAGGGAAAGATCCAAGGTAATCGTGGTCCTGGTAGAAGAACAACATCATGGCTGAAAAATCTAAGGCAATGGTATGGAAAATCAAACTACATCGTTATTTAGAGCTGCTGTCAATAAAGTCCATGACATCCAACGATCGATAGCGGTCATGGAACTAGAAGAAGAAGAAAAAGAAGAAGATTTTCTTACATTACTATGAGGTACCGGTGCCAACTCCATCAGGATTCCTTCAATATATTCATCTTTAGAACCAGATGCCGATGGTTCTTGGACATCATGATGATCGTAAGTTGCAGCGTGAGAAACATTTACATCAGCAGGTAAAGATGTAGACGCAATGTCAGGTTTATTAGTAGAACCACGCACATGCTCAGGCACATCTGTAGTTGCACGAGGAAAAAAATGCATGCTCCGGAAAAAATGTCACGATTTATAGGTGATATTCCTGTGGCTCGAAATCCATTTATTGCGATTTCAATATTTGCTCTTTTCTCATATGCTTTCTGAAAGAGACTGGACAGTTGATATATGGTTATTGCACGATCAGGATTTTCTCTGAGCCAATGAGTAACATCTTGATTATAATATTTATGGAGTGGTCCGAAAAGGCAACATCCAATGGCCGAAGGCGGTGCATGCAGTGTGCCGACAGGCAAAGTAATACCACTGAATTATGTTTAGCTAATTCTAAAGTTTCGTAGCTTTAATGGCTAGAGTGTCAGTCTAAAATTAATAATGCTAAAAAAGATAAAATGCATGGTTACAACTACTAAATTACTAAGATGTAAATTGGAGCTGGAAGGTCAGATAATAGAACAAGTGATGGAGTTTAAGTATCTAGGCATCACATTATCTAGCTACGGTAAGCTCTAAACCAAAGTGGAAAGATCAAGTGAATAGAGCAAACAGAGCCACAGACTGACTAAATGAAACAATATGGAGAAATAAAAATATCGGCAAAGAAACGAAAGGCAGAATGTACAAAACAGTCATCAGACCAATAATGACATACGCAGCAGAAACAAGACTTGATACAGAGAGAAGAAAAAGGATATTAGAAACAGCAGAGATGAAAACACTTAGAAAATTAATGGTAAGACACTATTAGACAGAGCTAGAAGGACATATATACGACGTAAATGCAGGTGGAGAACATCAAGAACTAGGTAAGAAATAAAAGAGTAGAATGGAACGACCATATAAGCCGAATTACAACAAATAGAGTAGTAAAGACGGCAAGAGATGGTTCTCCGATAGGAAGACTATCAGTAGGAAGATCACGAAAACGATGGAACGACAACTTACTGGAGGCTCATTACAAAACAGATAGAGTCATGTCTATATAAAAAGAAAAAGAACAACAAAAAGAAGAAGTTTTCGAAAAAGGATGCATTGTAGCTAATTCATTGAAGGTATTAAGAGTATGGAAGAGGTGGTCTAATGATGAGACTTATCGCCGTCGAGGATAAACTGGGCGTCCCCAGGGCGCATTTGCTTCACATTTAACTAAAAAATAGATGAGACAGTGTGCATCAAGAGATGAATTAATTGCAGTTAGAATTAATTGCAATAGGAAGGGTAATTTCAAGAAGAACAGTTAATTAAAGAGTACTTGAAATGACACTCAGAGCTTACCGTTCGCTTTTGGTGCTACCAACACGGCATAAGGCTAGGTTAGAATGATGGAGAGTTCGGTAAAATTAGAATAGCCAATACTTCAGTGCTGAATGGGTTTAGTTTAGGTGGCTCTGATGGGCACATAAGAATAAGACCTTTTCGAGGTGAGAAACGAAATATAGATTTGACTGTTTAACGCCATACAACAAGATAACGAACCAATATGGTATGGGGTGGTATAGGCTTAAGAACATCTAGTTCTTATTGATGGCACTCTCACAGCTACACGATATATTGGTGAAGTGCTGAACCTGTTTTACACTCCTCCCTACCTAAAACTATTCCAAATGCGATTTTCCAACAGCATAACGTAAGAACTCATATTGCCCGTGAAACCATGGACTTCATAAAAAAATCTGGTGTAGAGACTTTAAAGTGGCCATTAAGATCAGCTTATTTGTCACCGATTGAACATGTATGGGATATGGTGGGTCGAAACCTAAATCAATTATCACGTCCTTGAACAAACTTAAAAGACCTGTTGCATGACATAAGGAAAATCTGGATGACTACTTCGCAATATCCAATATGATATAGACCACTTAATTTGATCAATGCTCCATAGAGGAACTGAGTGTATAGAAATTTAAGGAAGAGCCACTTACTAATTTTTTGACGAAAATCACATTACAAATTTGTTTATAATGTTATCAACTAATAAGTGTATTAAAAGGCATATTTCCGTAAATAGATATAAAAAAATTGTCCTTCTGAGTGTTTCATTTTTTTGGCCATTAGTATATAAATAACTACTGAATATTACGTCTTACCCTATTTCTAATATTAATTGATTGAGTTAAGCTTTTATACATTCATTTCCATTTTCCATTAAAACAACAGGTAACACCTGGCCTGTTAAAGCACAGTTTATTTAAATACAAAATTATAGAATAACCTTGATCAAAATAAACACATAATACGATGAACACCAACTTTATATTGTAGTGTAAAAAAGATAGCAGCATACACTAGCATAGAGGGTTACTTACCACGATTTGTTTATAGTTTTAAGCACTTTTTAAGAAGCCAATTAAAATGGCCGAATTAGTTGTGCCAAAAATTGAAAAACTTGATGAATTAATAAGCGGCCATATAGGCAGGGATAAAAAAATTATTGATTCAAAAATTACAAGGCTTACAGCACCTGGAGAAAACTTCGGGAGTGAGATGTTAAAAGTGGATCTTCGTCTTAAATCTACTGAAGGCAAAGAGGAAGATTTACACGTTGTGGCCAAACTCATTCCAGAAAACGAATTTTCACGCGCAATTTTTAACGTGGATGTGTCTTTTAATGTAGAAAAAGAGTTTTATAACAGTATCGTACCTACATTGCAAGATTTTCAACGAAAACAAGGGATTACTAAAGTTATAGATTGTTTTCCTAGATTATATGGCGCCAGGAATAATTTAGGGAATAATGGAGAAAAGGTTGATAACAATGCAGCGCTCGTCTTGGAAAACTTAAAAATTCAAGGTAAGTGTCAGTGTTTACTTCTGTTTTTTTTTTAATTATACTTATTTATTTGATTACTTTGAACTATAAAAATGTCACACAGCAAATATTTTGGTAAAATTATTCCTTTTTGGCTTCAAAAACTGCAAAGTACTGCAAAACATTATTGTAAAACTATTGTAAAACATTAAACTAGGCATTTGTTATTTCGCCCAAAGTTAGGTATTGTGGTCGTTAACAAACATTCAAAATTTCAGATCGATCCAATAATTAATTTAAAAGTAAATATTTGTTTATTGCAGAGACCATTTTTGGCAGTAATATTAGTCAAAAAATAATAAAGATACTATAATTCTGCGCATAGCAAATGAAAGTTTAAAAACTATCAATGTGCATTAAAGACATTAAAAAAAATTTTTACCACGCAAAATTATTTTGCACAATTACGGTTATATTTTGATTTATAAACCTTTAGAATAACTTTTGCTCGTAGATAAAATCTTTTTTCATATTCGTAAAGCTGACATTTTTATACGAATTTAAGAAACAAAGTTTTTTTTATTTAAGCAAATACCCGCATCAACCACTAAGGGTTATTAGCAGGGGGACATACACAAAGAGTAACATACATATTGTTACATAGAAAAAAATATTTTTTACAATCTGGTATATAGTTTAGTCATTTTAAGATAAAATTGACAAAGACTGTAAATTTGACGATAGTATATATATATATATATATATATATATATTATATATATATATATATATATATATATATATATATATATATATATAATCGAAAACCTCTCTACCCTAAGATGTGAGGTAAATACAATACAATACAATTACAGGTTACAGATATACATAACATCTCAAATCCAATGAAAATATTTATTCTATTAAATTTATTCTATTCTGTGGACGAATTTTGTCCATTCTTTCTTGTTTTTTGCCTTATTTTGAGCTTCTGACCATTCCAATCCCCTACTTTTCAAAATCTGCCCTACTTCGTCATCCCAGGTTTTCCGTAGTCTGCCTCTGATTTTAAACCTTTTCACTTTAGCCTTCCGGACTTGCTTAACGGGTCGGGTTGTCGCTCATTCTGCACAAATGACCAAACTATTTTATTTGTTGTGTTTCAATAGCATGTAGTACTGATTCTGTGCCCAGTTCTTCTCTAACATCTTCATTTCTTATTTTGTCTCGTCGTGTTATTCCTTTGACTCGTCTTAGATATTTCATATCAATGGCTTGTATCTTGCTTTTTAATTGCTTTGTTAAAACCCAGCTCTCGCTTCCATATATCAAGATTGGTCGGAATACTGTCTTATAAACTGTCATTTTGGCTCTTATGCTGATTGCCGGTTTACCTATGAATGCTCTACTAAGATTATGGTACACTTTTGAAGCACTACTGATTCTTTCTGTTATTTCATTCTGCGTGGTACCTTCTCTGTCTATTGTAACCCCTAGGTATTTGAATGCATCTACTTGTTCTATGAGTTATTGGTTAATTTCTATGTTAACATTTCGGTTAGTTTTCGCTATTAGCATCACCTTGGTTTTCTTAACATTAATCTTCATGTTTCTGATTGCCAGCTCATTATTCCAGCTATCTATATTTTTCTGGAGGTCCCTTTCGTTGGAAGCGCATAACATGAGATCATCTGCGAATGCACACTCAGCTATACCAACCGGTCGTAGTTTACTATATCCGATATGTACTTTGTGTATACTTGCTTTTGTTTCCTTATTTATGTCGTCAATAATGAATATGAATAGTGTGGGGCTCTTAACACCTCCTTGTCTTAGACCCTCGTTTATTGCAAACATCCCTGATTCCAAGTTATCCTTACGTACATAACTCTTGTTATTTTGATACAGACTTTTGATATCACCTGTTAGTTGATGGTCAATATTTCTATTTTGCAGACTTTTCCAGACTGCTTCCTGGGACACTCTGTCAAATGCTTGTACTATCGTCAAATTTGACGATAGTACACTTTTTAAATTGTCACTAAGGGCACACGCGATTCTTTCGTTCTGGTTCACTGGACACTCAACAATTATATGTTTCACTGACAACTTAGTGTTGCACTTCTGGTTAAAGATATGCTTGTGGGTGAGAAAAGTATGTCCTATTCGGAGTCGGTTGATGTTGACTTGGTCTTTTCTATTATTTGGTAAAAATAGTTTGGTTCCTACTTGACTTAGACTTTCTTTAAGTTTGTTGGTGTGATCCCAAGTACTTTGCCACTCTCTGTACATGTGGGCTTTGATATTTACTTTGCGATCAGTCCAAGCCATTTGATTTATGATAGCAATACTTTGGTCGGTGGTTGCATTGCTTACCAGAGAGTCCCCTTTCTCATTACCATTTATTCTCATATGGGAAGGTACCCAGATGAAGGAAATATATTTTTGTTAAGTCTGTAGGTTAGATAACTCTTCTTTGATCTTGAGAAGTATGGCGTGAGTTGTATATAGCTGATTTATTCCAAGTAATGCGCTCATTGAATCGGTGACGATAACAAATTTGCTTTCATTGATATAACCACATTTTTTCATGGCCTGGTGAATTGCCGTAAGTTCTCCGGTATATACCTATATACCAATTTGTTGGAATTCGTATAGTAGACTTAACGTTTTCGTAGATGTAGGCTGCAGCATGTCCTTCATCACATTTGAAAGCATCAGTGAAGATTTGATGGGTTGTTGTGTATTTAGATATTACATTTCTATAAGCTTGCTGTATAAGGAAAGGATGTGTGGAATGTTTCGGGAGTTCTTTTAGAGACGTGTCTATTTTGGAGGTTTGATCATCCAAGGAGGAACGTTTACATGAATAGGCGTAAATAATACTGAACTGTTCTAAATTAAGACCAATACGTTTTATTCGTTCAGGAAATGGTAGTTTTTTTATCGCAATGTTTCTGTAAAGATCGGACGATATATTTGTTCTGCAAAGTATTGTTGAGTAGGTTACATTGCTGTTGTTTGCTGAAATTCTGGCAACGTAATTTAGTGATAGGAGTTGCCTTCGTTGGCTTAAGGGCAGTTCATTAGCCAGAGCTTATAAGCTATTTACTGGACTAGTTCTTGTGGCACCTAAAACTAATCTCAAGCACATATTTTAAATGTAGTCGGTTGTTGTATCTGCCCCCCAAGAGGTATTTGACAGAATTTTTAGTAGGATTAATTCTTGATTATCCAGAACGTTGCAGATTGGTGATGTGGGTTTCCCAGTTTAAGGTACGTTCAAAAGAAAGTCCTAAGAACATTATTTCTGCTTGTTTTAGGACAACTCCATTTAGTGTTAATTGTACATTAGGATAATTTTTTCTTTTGCTAAAAATTAAATAACGTGTCTTTTCACTAGAGAATATAAAACCCGTGTTTTGCGACAAGCTTTCAATTGTGTGTAAGGTAGTTTGCAGTATATGTGTTCACATAGTTACATTGATTGTTTATAGATAAATGACTAAGTCATCTGCATATAGGCTAGTAAATCCAGGTAGTTTTATTTGATGTATAATACTATTTATTTCAATTAGAAAGAGAGTGGGACTTAGAGTAGATCCTTGTTGAGTGCCGTTTTGAAGTACTCGTCTAAAAGATGTAAATCCATTGGTTCTAACTCGAAAAGTTCGTGTTTTCTAGAAAATTATTAAAAAAGGATAACATGTGCCCTTGAACATCCCATTCTTAAATTGTTTTTAGTATAAGATGTCTCCATGTTGTATCAAACGCTTTCCTTATGTCAAAAAATACGGCAATAAGTTTTTGGTTGTGCAGAAAGGATTTATGTATATTTAATTCAAGTGTTATTAGATTCGACTTTGTCCGATACGAAATCCACTTTGTCTGACACTTATTAGGTTATTGTTTTCAAAGTACCACTTAAGACGATAATTAAGGATTTTTGTTTTAAAGTTTGCAGGTACAACACGTAAGTGATATTGGACGATAGGAATTTAGATTGTCTTTTGGTTTATTATATTTAAGGATTCTAAATATTATATTTAAGGATTCTATACTTGCTTGCGACCATAGATCAGGAAAGTCATGATAAATAAAGATATTCAAAATATCAACTAATATTAGCTTTGCATTCAGAAGAAGATTTTGTAAGAAAAGAGGATTGATATTATCAGGTTCTGGACTTGAATTTTTAGCACTAAAACAAAATTCTAATTCTTGAAGACTTACTGGTTTGTTTATTGGATTGTCGCTCTCTGTGATTTGTATATTTGAAGACTCCGTTTGTTTTTTGTACTCTAGAAATGATAGGCTGTAATTGGAATCACCAGAATTAAGTTCGTATATACCTGCTTGTATTTCTGGAATATCTTCTTTGTTTGAATGCGTTTGTATGATAGAGTATCTATACCTCGGAAGTATTTTGTCCCTTTCATTCTGCGGACTGTCTTCCATATGTTGCCTAAGGGAGTGGAAGGATTTATTGAAGAAACGTACTTTTTCCAACTTCCTCGTTTTGCTTTTTTGATTAATTGTCTGCTTTGAGCTCTAAGATTTTTAAACCATAAAAGGTTTCCGATAGTTTTATGTTTCTTGTAAACGTTAAAACTGTGTTTAGACAAAGTGAGTGTTTGTGCAATTTCATTATTCCACCAAGGAACTGGCTGCCTTTGACTCGACTTTGTTTTTCCCACTGCGATTGTTGCTGCAGAAATAATAATGTTATTAAATATTTTAAGATTTTGGTTTGCGTTATTGGTTAAATTAAATTTGTTTGTTCTTCTATCAGTGTTCGATATAAATTCCAGTCAGCTGACTTTGTTTTCCATGTCTGGTGAATTGGAAAAGTTGATTTATCATTAGTGTTTATGGTTATCGTGATAGGGAAATTATCACTATCATATAAATACCCCAATGTGTCCCAGTATAATAAAAGAGCTAGCGACGGACTGCATAAAGAGAGATCTATGGAAGAAAATGTACCATTGTATAAATTAAACCTAGTAAATTTGCCAGTGTTTAATTTAAATTATCAATTA